CCCAGCAGCATGAAGATCAAGGTTGTTGCTCCACCTGAGAGGAAGTACAGCGTTTGGATTGGGGGTTCCATCTTGGCATCTCTCAGCACTTTCCAACAGGTATTGGCTTCACTAATGGCATTAGACATACAAATGCATGTTAAAATCATACGTAAACCACACAAATAAGGGAAAAAACAACATACTTAAGCCACAGAAGGCAATTGGCAGTTATCTGATTAGGTGAATTTTTTCCTCTTTTACTGCAGATGTGGATTTCAAAGGGAGAGTACGATGAGTCTGGGCCATCTATTGTGCACAGGAAATGCTTCTGATCATCCACGGGAAAGGAAAGAGGTTTAAAGAGAAATACCATACACTGGATAAATGCCTCTCTGGAAATGCTTTCTTTCTTTTCCTTTTCCTTTATCCTTTTTTTAACCTTTTTATTACTTTATCTCAATTCAATGTGGAGACTTGAGACATTGACCATGAAGGGGCCTGAAATCCCCATCTTTTTGCTATTATTTTTTATGTATTAATACTGCTTTTGTTTGGGTTGAAGCGGGTTTGCCATACTTTCTAGTTGTCTCTTGATTTATTTAGACCAATAAATTTATTTCTCAGTCACATGTGAAATTACAGGTTTATTCTAAATCCCCATCTCTCCTCTAGGTGGATTTGCGCTGACAACATTAACAAACAAACTTTCAAATAGGGCAAATTTCTTAAAATATTCTTAAGGTTTAGGAAATTGACTAATTCTAATAAAACGCAACTGATGAAAATTTTCAAGAATCGTATAATAGTCTGGGTCCATTGGAAGGATGAAGAGGGATTACTTTCTTCTTTCAGTCTTCGTCCTAACAAGGCAGACAGAGTAGAGAGGCTGCAAGCTGAAATGTCAGAATCCTGGAATCCTGCAACCCCTCTTCCCTTTTCGGAAGAGGAAGATGTCACAGTTTTCTTATGGTCCGTTTGGTTTCCGAGAAAGGATGGGGTGAGAAAGGATGTGATGAGAAGGGAAAAATTTTTTTCTCTCAATCCTGTCACTTGTGTTTGGTTGCTGAGACCAGTTATCCTGTCAAATTTGTTTCCCAGTGTTTGATCGCTGAGAAAATTGTACAGCAATTTCTCCCTCCTCCCAGTCCCTACCTCATGAAATTGATGTTATCTTCTAACAACTGCACGTTTTAGGAAGATCCTGATGGAAGTTGCACTTCAAAAGAAGAACCCAGTTGCTACAAGAAGAATATACTGATGATGCCACACTAGTAAGGTTCATGTTAATTTCTCCCTCCTCCCAGTCCCTGCCCCAGCCCCTCTCTAAGCTCTCTGTTATAGATATAGATAACATTATTGACAAATGTAGACTTTTTTATCAAAGAAAAATAAGATAATGTTATCCTTGATGAAATATAATGCTGTCATGATTCTTTTCTCTCTCTGTTTTCTTGCTGAATAATCAAGTTCTTGGTTTTGTCTACAAGGTTCAGAGCTGTGACGAAGAAGTGCATTTCTATGATTGTCCCAAAATGGAGCTCAAGCTGAAAAGTCTAAAATCTTTGAAGATTTAGTATGGTTTATCAGAAAATTACTGAGAAAATGAAAATTGTGGAGAAATGTTTAAGAACATCTTGAACATCCTGATCAACATCTAGTAGAAGTCTTCCAAGTTACAGAGAGAGTTAGAAGAGTTGTTAAAAAGAAAATCCTGATCAACATCTGCAAAGAGAGAAACATTGGGTGGGTTTGGCAACCAACCTTGTAACTGATTGAACGAAACATTTAACAAAGATAACATAGATGATCCCAGAACCAGTTGGGAATAGGACTTGAATACACGCAAACGCCAGATCTGGACAAGGCAAACGCCAGAAGCCAAATCTGGACAAGACAAACGTTGGAAGCCAGATCTGGACGAGGCAAATGCTGGAAGCCAGATCTGGACGAGACAAACGTTGGAAGCCAGATCTGGATGTGGCAAACGCCGGAAGCCAGTTCTGAAGCTCCAACGTTCAAATGAACACCTTGAACAGCAGTTCAGATGTTTTCTGGCAATAGAGTTTGGTTTGGATGAACAGGGAGAGTTATAGGACAGTGAGATTTGAACGGGAACTCATTCAATGAAAGGAGATGAAAATGGTATAAAAATGAATGAAAATCGCGAGAGGATTGCAAATCTGAACTTGTCGGCGAAAGAAGTCACCGGTGATGGCACCGGCGAGAAGACTGTTGAATGGCATGTGGAAGGAAGACGGCGCTCGGAATGGTGCTCTCAACAAAATTTTCTCACTTGCTCCCTTTCTCAGTGGGGTCGCACCATTTTGGTGTAACCTTGCATAAAGGATTTTGGGAACTTGTGTCTCAAAACTTTCTCATCCCATCCCACTTTTTTCTTCAAAACAAACACATCACAAAGAGAATATTCCTTAAAGATGCTTCCCATCCCATCTCTTTCTCGGAAACCAAACAAACTGTTAGTGTACATCTTAAACTTGTAAGGAGAGTTCTGTTGAGTATCTCTCGGATCTGTAAGGAACCTAGATCAGAAAATGGGTTATGGAAGTTAAAGTTAATTCTAACACTGCATTTGGAAGCGATGTAAATCAAGAACCGATGTAAAATTTACATTTATTCGGTTTTGTAAGCGTTTGGAAGGAATGTATAATTATGATTGACGTAAAATTCCACCTTGGTTTAGATTTATTGGCGTTTGAATGGAGTGGAGTTTTACATCGTGAATCGATATAAAACCTCATCAAGCATAAAGTTTTACATCGGTTATCGATGTAAAAAGTAAAAACTACATCCATTTTATTGATGTAAAACTTTACACTTTTTTATCACGGTTTTCAAAATGTAACGGTCATTCAGTCACCTCTATATACAGTCTGGTGTAAAACGCCAACAATGTACTTTTACACTGAATCCAAACGAAGCCTAAAGAAATCTGATACGTTAGTTTTTGTGAGAAGCACCCTGATCCTCCATATGATTTATATTTGATGCTGCATTCATGCGGAGAGCCGCGTCGGAAGCTTTAAGGAAAGAAATTCCGAGCAATAGCGATGTAAACGACGATTGCTGTCCCCATGTTTGTGTCTTGTAGTGCGATCCAGGTCCATGCCCTCCTTGTAAAGCTTTTGCTCGTCCGCACCTGTGTCCTCGTGGGACTTTAATAAGCGAGCACTGACTCAAACACTTTAACAAGCGAAAGAAGCAATAATTTACCATCTTTTGTCAAGAATTTCTGACATAAAACAAAACCCACAAGCCAAAATCAACACTTAATAATCAGTTAACAAAAACAAACCCAAAAACAATTAATTTCCCGACTTCCTCACCAGTAACGAAAACAAATACAGAAACAATTAATTTCCCAACTTCCTCACCACTATTGCTAAGAAGATGTAGACCAATCACTCGATCTCTAGGTTGAGCTACTTTGACGATCCAACTTTACTCCCTGCTTTGCTGATCCAACTTTACTCCCACCACAACCATCAGGCAATTCTCACCATCACCACCGCCGATTTCTCCTTCAATTAGAAGTGTTCTCATCATCGTCAATTCGGTTCTTTAGTCAGATCCCAATGACTTTCTCTTTCCCGCCATTGCACTTCAGTCCCTCCATTTGTTAATGCCTGAAAATAACTAATTTATAGCTAATCTCATCTCTCTAAAATTATGAGATCGTACTCATCTCACTCAAACAATGTTAACAATGATCTAACTGTAAAAGAATAACCAACTTGCTAAAAATACTCTGTCAGAGGTTTCTGCAACAACGAAACCCACGAGGCTTCTGTGTTTGGAACAGAGGGAAGAGCCCTAGAGACTGGATTTATTTCTCTGCTTAGCTTAGCAAGCTTGTTACGAAATGACCACAACGCGCGACCAAGCTCGCTGTCACAGCTCCGGGTCCAAGCTTCAGCGAGCCCAAACCGAAGGGCATTTTTTACCATAAAGGGTATTTTTATAATTTTTAAAAAATATAACAGTCATGTGATTTTACATGTGAGGTTTTAATGAAAGGGGAGGTTTTAGAAAATTATCATAAAATTTGAGGGCATTTAAGATAATACATAAAAAGTAAGAGTAAAGATAATCAATTTCCTAAATCTTAAGAGTACTTTAAAAAGTCCAAGTTACCAATTGAACCACCACATAAGTTAGTATTTTATCTTTAACTTTAATTGGCATTTAGGCCCTATTTGTTTTTCGATAAGTTATTTATCCGGGTAAGTTTTTCATGGGAAACACTTACCCTGATAAATAAATTTACTCATGCTCTTTTATTTCGTAGGTAAATAAGGTAATAACCATTTTAGCTTTAAAAATTCATTATTAAAAGGAACATTTTTGTCCCATTCAAGTGTTGGTAACTTTTCCCGTAGGTGGGAAACTTACCCACCTAGGAGATACTCAGGAAAGTACTTTCCCTGATCCCACATAAATCTGAAAAATGAATATGGAATTCTTGGTCAATGGGAACCAAAATCCCATTGACCAACTTTCCACTCTATCAAAATCCCAAAATAAAAAAACACCCCCTTAAAACCACTTTGTCATCATCAAGACTTCTAAAATAAAAAGTGAATACTAGGTCATTAATTTATTATTATTATTATTGTTATTTTAGAAAAAACTTCCAATTAATACCCTATACTTTGGTTATAGTGACAATTTGATCCCAAACTGTAAAATGTGCCAATCAACACCCGAATTTTTAAAATGCAACAATCCAGTACATGCCATTAATGAATCGTCAATTAACATGAAAAAGGATGCAATTACCCTTCGGCTTTTCAGCATGGTGATTGAACGATTTAATAACTTTATGTTGAAGAACTTAGCAGAAGAACACTTTACAGATGGTCACGTGTAGTCAAGTAGGGGTTTGATGGCGAAATTCTTGGACAAAGATGGCGACAACACCTCTATTTTTGCTTTGACATTCAGGTATTCAATTGCAGACATCTTTGAATTTTTGCTTGCAACGTCATGTCAGCACCAACAGTTGTGTGAATTGGGTTGTAGCAACGAAATCGATTGCAAAGGAACGATTGGAAAGGAGGACGGAAAGACCGAAAGAGTGGGAGAGAAAGAAGAGGATGGGTTCAGTTCGGATAAGAAGAAAATGGAAAGTGAAGAGTTAGAGAGTATTAGTTTTGGGGGAATGAGATGAGGGAGTTTTAGATCTGGTTAATGACAGTAAAGAAAAGAATGAATAAGAGAGAGAGAGAAAAAAATGAGAGTGAGGGAGTTCATTGTTCGCTGCTGCTCTGTTATGTGTTTCCTCCTTAATCGGTCTTCCAACCCAGGATTGAAGAGGAAAGAGCCTTTTTCCCTTCTTTTATTTGTTTAAAGAGAAAGGGTAAAATAGTTCGAAAACTATAAACAAAGGCATTTTTGACATTTTCTAATTATTTAATCTGTACATGATATCATGTGATGACGCTGGTTAATGGTCCATTAACTTCCATCATTCTCCATGGTATAAATCCATATCCATTGTTAAATTAGGAAACAAAAACATAAATATAAATGTTTAAATATGATCATATATAATTAAATTGGGT